GGGCGGGCGACCGCCCTCTTGGCGCGCTTTGCTTCCCGCAGACCCGGGGCCGGGGTCCTTGCGCTTCTGTCGAGCTCCGGGCGGGCAGCGGGGCTCCGGGGCGGCCTCCGGGGGTGCAGACCGCGCCGCGGCCTTCCCGGCGGCACCGTGACCAGGCGCTTTCGGCCGCGCCCAGCTCTGGGCCCACCAGGCCCAGCCGGGCGTCTCAGGCGTGGGGAAGGGCCGTCATGGCGTCCGTGCACCGCCGCCCTCGCCGTCCGCCCGCGGGATGAATGGGCAGCGGCCTTTGTGGTCGCGGCGGCACGTGGAGCGTCCGGGGAGGCTGGGAGCGGGGCCGGCCATGTGGCGCCCGCCGGCCGCGTCACGCAGTCCGCCCTTCCTTTGCAGGACCATCACGATGGCTGCCCAAGGAGAACCCCAAGTCCAGTTTAAAGTACGTGGTGGGCCCTCTGGGTTGGTGCTGTCCGTGGGGCGGGCAGGAGGGGCCCGGGGGAAAGGTGCTAGTCCGGAGGAGACGGCTCTCGTTAGACAAGGTTACTCAGTCACTGCCAACGTTTGCTGACCGTCCGCTTTGTGTGTGCTGATAGTGCGTGAGGTCCTTTAATTCTCTCCATAACGAGGGGGGTGTCGGCCGTGTTTTACAGATGAGGAAACTTAATACTGCTGACCGCCGTGGGGGTTACATAATTGTTAAAAAAGACATGCTGCCTCCAAGGAGTTGACCGTCATTTGAGTGGAAGGGGAGAACATTATATGAAAGTTGTGCTCGTGTGTGGTTTGCTTACATCACTTAGATGTAACGAGACCACGTAATAGCTAAGTGTACCTATCAGTTTCTCAGTTAAAATGGTGTCCAGAGAATTTTAAGAACTATGTGATTCCAGGTTTGTGAAACATGTTTTGAGTTGGTTTTTTGAAGGAAAATTGTATCCCAACAGCTCGTATTGGTTGGTGATGGTGGTACTGGAAAAACTACGTTTGTGAAACGTCATCTGACTGGTGAATTTGAGAAGAAGTATGTAGGTATGTGGCGGGAGAGAAGGGTCTGGAAATTTTTATGAGGTGGATAAATTCAGTGACTAATCTGAAATGTTTGTGTTTCAGCCACCTTGGGTGTTGAGGTCCATCCTCTTGTGTTCCATACTAACAGAGGACCGATTAAATTCAACGTGTGGGATACAGCTGGTCAGGAAAAATTTGGAGGACTGAGAGATGGCTATTATATCCAAGGTAGGTGTCTCATTTGTGACTTGAGTGGTTTGGGAGAGGATTTGTACTTCAGTCTCAAAGGTCTAGTCCACCAAATATTTGCTTAATTCTGGGTGTACTGGGAATTATATAATTTTTAAGTTGAAAAAGACATGCTGCCCACAGGGAGCTTACTGTTGTTTTGGGTGGGGGGGGGAGAGGAACTACAGAAGTTGTTCTATGTTGTTTGATTCCATACTTTGTCATGCTAGGCGTTGTTTTGAAAAAGAAAAAATTATGACTTACAGTGAGGCTCAAAATTTAAAAGCAGTAACAATAAGCAGCGGACAAGCTGTCGCAACTTATTTGGTACATCTTGGTGGTTATCAAGGATTATTTCTTGTCCGTTTCATTAAAGTCACTTTGACCAGATCTTAAGATCAGAGGAGCTGGGTTCTCAATCTTACAAATGTGGTATAAGAACAACTAATTTCTTCTTCATGCCAATTTTTACAGAATACTTTTTTTCAGAGTGGTTAGGAACTGTAAAGGAAATAAATGCTCATTGTAGCACCAAGCAAAACAAAGATGAATAAAGAAAATACTCATTTTTTCCTGAAATCTCACTTTCCTCATGCAGAATTATTTGGAATCCTTTTATGCCTCTGGCTTTGAAAATGTAGAAATGAACCCAAAAGGGTTTGTTTTTAAAAAAAAAAAAAAAAAAAAATTATATCATGCTATAACTACTTCGTAGTTTGTTGTGTTTTTAACTATATCATGACCATCCCTGCAGGTCAATATGTAGACTTACCTGAGGTTTTTGAAATAGAGGTATAATATACAGTAAATTTAATGAGGTTTTTTTTTGTTTGTTTGTTTGAATAGGAATTTCCAGGTTCTGTGCTAGACCCTCAGAATATAGAAGGGGGCTTCTCTAGGATGCTGTTTTATTCTTTATCTACTTTGGATACTTTTTTTGGGATGAGGCAGTGCTAATGAAGTATTTGTGGATGGTAGTATAGGAGAAGAGATTTATACAGTGACTAACTTAGTCTTTCAAGCTGTGTTAAAAAAAATGCAAAGGAGCCCAAAAGCAAGAAGGCAGTAAGGGACAGGAACTGGATGAATGGACATGGAATCCGGAGTGGAAAGGGGGAGCGTGCTGTCATATTGTGGGGATTGCAACCAATGTCACAATACGTGTATAAATTTCTGAATAAGAAATTAACTTGAGCTGTAAACTTTCACTTAAAGCACAGTAAAATTTAAAAAAATGAATTTTAAGCAATACCATTATAGTTTAAGATTTTCAGAATTGGAGGAGCATTTGAAATTGAGAGCTCTAGATGACCCAGAGCAGGCCTGAGGTGACACTAATTCTAGTCCATAGCCCTTACCATTTCTCGTCTGTGTAGTAAACTCCTAGGTGTATACTAATCATTACAAATTTTCCTTGCAGCCCAGTGTGCCATTATAATGTTTGATGTAACATCGAGAGTTACTTATAAGAACGTGCCTAACTGGCATAGGGATCTGGTTCGAGTATGTGAAAACATCCCCATTGTGTTGTGTGGCAACAAAGTGGACATTAAGGACAGGAAAGTTAAGGCAAAATCCATTGTCTTCCACCGAAAGAAGAATCTTCAGGTATGTTTCTTAATTTACAAAGTTATGATTGTTAGGTAAAATTGTACATAGGTCTGTGACACTGATTTATAAATGCCTTTTTTATGTATGGATTGAAAATTTTTTTTGTAGCTTGGAATGTCCCCTGAGTAATTGTTTTAGTAACTGTTTTAAAAACACTAATTTTACTTTTTTTTAAACAGTACTATGACATTTCTGCCAAAAGTAACTACAACTTTGAAAAGCCCTTCCTTTGGCTTGCTAGAAAACTAATTGGAGACCCTAACTTGGAGTTTGTTGCCATGCCTGCTCTTGCCCCACCAGAGGTTGTCATGGACCCGGCTTTGGCAGCACAATATGAGCATGATTTAGAGGTATCACGTTAAAATTTCCATTAATGCGCTTAGATTTGGCATGTTACTTTCCTCACGATTTCAGTCTGACCTTATTAACCTCTTACTCTCTTTCTCTAGGTCGCGCAGACAACTGCTCTCCCGGATGAGGATGATGACCTGTGAGAGAGCGAAACTGGAGCCCAGCGTCAGAAGTCTAGTTTTATAGGCAACTGTCCTGTGATGTCAGTGGTGCAGCGTGTTTGCCACTTTAGCTATATAATAATCTTTGGGATGCTGAAGGAGATGAATGGGCTTCGGAGTGAATGTGGCAGTTAAAAAAACCTTCATTTTTTTTGGACCTGCATATTTAGCTGTTTTGGAACGCAGTTGTTTCCTTCTTGAGTTTCAAATATAAGACTGCTACAGTCACATCACAATATTCAGTGGTGAAATCTTGTTTGTTCCTGTCATTCCCATTCCTTTTCGTTTAGAACCAGAATAAAGTTGTATTTCAAATAACCTAAGCAAGTGAACTCATCCCTTGTTTCTAAGATTTTAAAACCATTACATGGGAATTTGTGCCAGGTTACTGTTTAAAAAGCCTGTGTTATTACCACTCAGAAACCTGTTAGGTTAATTACTGTCTTCATATACTTTTTAAATTTGTTTTTTGTACATTTGAATCTTCACACAAGCTGGCTGGATATGACAAGAAATGAAATGTAAATGTCAGTGCAGTTAAGCTAATGTCCATCCACCTTCATTTTGGCAAAATAGTATCACCTATTGAAAAGCTTGTTAAAGGTTTGTATGTGAGTTGTCCGTAAAGATGGTACGTGGTTTGGCTATATCAGACGTTTTAAGGATTATAGTTGCTCTTACGGCAAAGGTAACCCGGTTTTAATGTAGAGCTCAAAGTTGGATAGTCGCACAGTTGACAGCAGGAATGTGAGGGAAGTCTCGTGTTAAATGAGTGCATGTTTTGTACTACTTTGTTTTAATGTTAAATGTTTGGTGAAAAATTGATATCTAGGGAGAAGTTTCATGTTAACCTGCTGGCTTCAGGTACTCTGAAGCTGTAAAGATGTCTCGATTGAGGATTCCCGCTGGTCACACTACAGCTTTTGATTATTTTTCCCCCAAAGGATTTTTGTTGGCAGTACAAGTAAAGGACACAAAGACAAAATAAGATGAAAAAGTAGAGATCAGAATGGACTTCCTGGTAATGTGAAGTTGAGACTGCAAACTGCATAGTTTTTAGCAGTTTAAACGTTAACGTTTGCATCGTGTCCACACTGAGTAGGAATTAGGTCTGTCTTGTCCAAGAGTTTGGCCCCGTCGACACTGTACTGGGGGAAGTAAGAACCTTCAAGAGCTAGTCCAGTTTGCCAAGGTTATCCCAAGATGTCCACTTATCTTTAGATGATTACTTTCCTGATTTAAAAGAAGGAAAGAAACCGCTGAAGACAGAAGAAAGATAGAAATAAAAGGGTGAAATTCAACAAGCAGGTATAGATACGTGACTTCTTCACTTAAAAGTCTGCGCTGTAGATGTGCTGTATTCAGGATAAGAGTTCAGTAACCTGAAACCTGTGAAAAGTTTCATCCCATAATGAAGCTGTTTGTTCAGACCCTTTGAATCTAATGTGTAAATGTGTGTGACTTCATAAAGAGTGCAAGTATAGCACTTGACATTCTGACTCTTGTGTAACAAGCTGCTTTACTTACTGTTAGCCATGGGGCAGGGGAGGCTTTACAAGTCAGTAGATGAAAAATGCTCAAAAATTTATTGCTTCTGTTTTGCTTAGGTTCTCTGAATCGTCTCTGGAGTATTTGAATACTATAGGAAATAATGAACAGTTAGCAAAGATTTTTTGGGCCATTCATTTCTATCCAGTTTATATAAGTGGTAAAAGTTTGCCTTGAATTATATATTTGGGGATCTGGTATCTACTGGGGAAAGCCTTACACATCATTGGTCAAACTGCAAACTAGGAAATAGGTTTTTAGAGCCAAAAAACTAAGAAAAAGCGTAGTTAATGCGGCTTATTCAGGTAGGGTTATTGGTGAGGTTAGTAGGATAAAACACTTGAAAAGCAGTTTTGTTTTCAATTTGTGCCATACAGATCTTCCCAGAACTCACAAAGGAGGCATTCATCTGTCAGGAGTGTTTTATTTTTTTTAATTCTGCAGATTGGGTTCTAGGTCATATCAATGTCTACATGAAATGTCTAGGAAAGAACAGAAATTTCCAAAAGTACATTAAACTTTCAGAGGACTGACTCCTTGGCTGATGGTACATCTGAAGAAGTAACTCGAGTTACTGATTTCTTCTGTAAAACTGCATAGTGATACATCTAGGACCATACTGGGGCTTCAGGTGTCTCGCCTAACAGTGATTTGGAATTGTAGTCTCTTAGGCAACTTGGAAGAGCACGAAATAAATACGTTGGGCAGGCACTGTCCTAGAAATGTGACGTTGTTCATCTTCCTTAATCTCTCCAGCGTCTTTTAATCAAGCTTCAAGCTGTGTTGGGAAGATAAAACGTACCTAACCCGTTAAACCTTACCATTAGTTAAGGGTGTAGAGTCACATTCAAAAAGCAGATGTGGTCATGTCTAGGATTGCTTCCATGGCCTTGTGAGTGTAGGGCTCTGCTGCTTTCTGGACCTGGGGCGCCATGATTTACTTGGGCATCTCACAGCACCTTTACACTTTCCAGAATGTTCCTTCCCCTTTGCAGAAGTAAACCCTGCCACTTCATGCGTCTTTTAGATCTCACACACTGGTTTTTACCTTATCTGGGTCAAGGTTGCTATGACATCACCGAGTCTCAGAGCCCTAGTCAAGGTGGCAGTTTAATAGTCTGTGAGTGTCTTGTTCACTAGTCTGATCACCATGAGGGCAACAGTTGTGTCTGTTTTTGGTCCTCATGTCCCCCTTACTAGATTTCCAGTGGGAACCCTGAGAAGGAGAAAATTTGGGGTTTGAAGATGGAGTATAGGGTGAGGAGAGGCAGAGAAGAGTTTATTACACTGTTAACGCCTTCTGCCATTTTAAAGTCACCATGGCACCTCCTTCCTGGAGTCTAATTTACTATGTTTTGTCCATCTAACCCAGCTTGTTTTCTTTAGGGTACAGGAGCAGGGGGAAGAGTGGACAATCGGGAAGCTTGTCAGATTCAACTCACTGAATTAAAACTTCTGTTAGTAGATGTGGGGTCTGTCACGTTTAGGTTTAGCCTTAGGAACAGGAAGAGGCACATTGATTGAAATGCCCGCCTTTAAAAAGCAAACTAAACCATGCCATATAAGTTGTTCTTTGATGATGCCGACAGTTTGTTCATTCCATACGTGTTGAGCTATGTGCTGGGGATGTAATGATGAGCAACAGCTTTGCTCGTGAGGCTTTTATCCAGGGAGATAGAAGTGAAGGTGATGACTGGTGAGTGCTAAAATGGAAAAGTGTCCAGTGCTTGGGACACATGGCAGCAATCTGAGGGATTAGAGAGGCGGGGGGAGGAAGGATGTGAACTGGGATAAGAGGTCTAGATAAGGCATAGAGGAGAAAAGGATTGAAGAAAAGGGAGCAAAAGATGTGGGCAAAGGCCCTGAGGTAGAGAATATGACTGGAGAAGTGGAGGCAGTGACAAGGTAGGTGGAGAGACTCATACAGGTTGTTTTATTTTTTTCATTAAAAGCTAATTTACCGATTCGATATTTAGAGCACAATGGGAAGCTATTGAAAGGTCAGAGTAGCTTTTTTTTTTTTCTTTTTTTGTTTATTGTACTTGAGATAAGGTTTACAGAGCAAATTACTTCTCATTAAACAACACATAGATTGTTTTGCGACATTAGTTGACAACCCCGTGACGTGTCAATACTCTCCTCGACCTTGGGATCCCCATTATCAGCTTTCTTGTCCCCTCCTGCCTTCTCGTCTTTCCCCTGGGCTGGGGTGTCCATTTAGTCTTGTTTTGTTTTACAGGCTTGTTTAATGTTTGACTGAAGGTTGAACCTCAGGAGTGACTTCATTACTGAGTTAAAAGGGTGTCCGGGGGCCATACTCTCGGGGTTTCTCCACTCTCTGTCAGACCAGTAAGTCTGGTCTTTTTTTGTGAATTAGAGTGTTTTCGACATTTATCTCCAGCTCTGTCTGGGACCCTCTGTTGTGATCCCTGTCAGAGCAGTTGGTGGTAGTAGCCGGGCACCGTCTAGTTGTGCTGGACTCGGTCTGGGGGAGGCTGTGGTAGTTGTGGCCAGTTAGTCCTTGGGACTAATCTTTCTCTTGTGTCTTTGGTTTTCTTCATTCTCCCTTGCTCCAGATGGGATGGGACCAGTGGAGTATCTTAGACGGCCACTCACAAGCTTTTAAGACCCCAGATGCTACTCACCAAAGTAGGATGTAGAACATTTTCTTTATGAACTATGTTATGCCAATTGAGCTAGATGTCTCCTGAGATAGAGTAGCAATTTAGTGGTTGTTTTGGAAGCACTGAGGCACCGGGATTGTGGGGAGGTCAGGAGAGGTGCTCAGAGAGCAGTGATGATCTAGCCTTGCCTACTCAAGTCCATTCTCCACCCTGCAATATTCCCAAAAAGGGAGGATGACCCCATGGTATGACGGCACCTCAACAAACAGCTAAAGCTCACATCAATTGAATACCCACCATGAATGCCCCGTGCCTGCTAATCCTCACAAATTTGCTTCTTAGGTGAGGTGTGGTTAGTGCTCACAGATTAAGGAGCTGGCCCAGGCAGTCTGGGTGAGATTTGAGCTGTATTGCTTGTTCAAAGCTACTCACATAGCAACAGTTAGTTTACAGTGACAAATCTGTTGACTAGGGAAGATGGTCATGTAGCTTGAGAGTGGAGTGATCCTCTAGGTGTGAAAGTTGTGAAACCAGATTGTAAGAAGAGCACCTTTTGGGTAGGTCAGACACTAGAGCCTGCCTGGAAGGGTGAATTTAGGGGCCATTTTTGTAACACTGGGTTTTGGCTTTTTTTAACCCCGTCATGTTTCACTTTCCTACCCTCCCCCAAAGTGAAAGAAGTCAAATACTTTCTAATTAAAAGTTTTAGGGATTTACGAAGTTAAAAATACTCTGTCACCACATTTTTCCACCATGCAGAGATGAAGATAAAAGACTGCAGCCCTCAGTATGAATGACACCTGAATGTGAACGAAATGAAAATCTTCACAGCTGGGCCCATAAACAACACCACGATAAATGGTGAAGAAATTGTCAGGGATTTCATTCTACTTGGATCAACAATCAGCGCAGTCAAGCAGCAGTCAAGAAATCAAACGACACGTTGCATTGGGCAAGTCTGCTGAAAAAGACCTCTTTTAAGTGTTGAAAAGCGAAGATGTCACTTTGAGGACTATGGTGCGCCTGACCCAAGCAATGTCACCTCATATGCATGTGAAATCTGGATAATGAATAAGGAAGACTGAAGAAGAATTGATGTTGGCAAAGAATATCAAATATACCATGGACTGCCAGAAGAATGAACAA